CATTGGGCATTTTTTCATGTTTATTGGTCATTTGTATATCTTCTTTCGAAGAGCCTCTGTTCATGTCTTTTGCCCACTTTTTAATTGGGGTTCTTTGTATTTTTCTTGATTTGCTTGAGTTCTTTGTAGATTCTGGTTGTTAGTTCTTTGATGGATGTACAGCTTGCAAATATTTTCTCCCATTCTGTGGGTTGTCTATTTTCTCCGTTGACTATTTCCTTAACTGTGCAGAACCTTTTTAATTTAATGAAGTCCCATGTATTTATATATGTTGCTGCTGTGATTTCCATTGGGGTCTTCTTCATAAATTCTTTGCCTAGGTCAATAACTAGAAGAGTTTTTCCAACATTTTCTTCTAGAATTCTTGTGATTTCGTGCCTTACATTTAAGTCTTTTATTCATTCTGAATTAATTTTGGAGTGGTGAGAGATACAGATCCTGTTTCAGTCTTCTGCGTGTGGCTATCCAATTTTCCCACCACCATTTATTGAATAGGGCTTCTTTTCCCCAGTGTATATTTTTGTCTGATTTGTCAAAAATCAGTTGGTTGTATTTAGATGGTTTCATATGAGGGTTCTCTATTCTGTTCCATTGGTTTATGTGTCCATTTTTGTGCCAATTCTATGCTGTTTTGGTTACTATAGCCTTGTAGTATAATTTGAAGTCTGGTAATGTGATGCCTCCAGATTTGTTTGTTTTTTTTTTTTTTTGCTTCAGATTGCTTTGGCCATTCGGCTCTTTTCTAGTTTCAAATGAAGCATAGAATTATTTTTTCTAGATCTGTGAAACGTAACATTGGTATCTTGTTGGGGATTGCATTGAATCTGTCAATCACTTTGGGTAGTATGGACATTGTAACAATGTTGATTCTATTGATCCATGAGTATGATATGTTTTTCCATTTGTTTGTATCCTCTGTGATTTCTTTTTTGAGTGTTCCATAATTCTCTTTGTAGAGATCTTTCAGTTTCTTCATTAAGTATACTTCTAGGTATTTTATTTTCTTCGTAACTATTGTGAATGGTATTGAGTCTTAGATTTGACTATCAGTTTGACTGTTTTGGTACATAGGAAAGCTACTGAGTTATGGACATTGATTTTGTAACCTGAGACCTTCCTGGATTTATTTACGAATTCCAGGAGTTTATTGGTGGCGTCTTTGAGGTTTTGAAGATGTAAGATTTATTGTCAGCAAAAGTGATAGTTTGACAATCTCTTTTGCAATTTGGATACCCTTTATTTCTTTCTCTTGCCTGATTGCTCTGTCTAGAACTTCCACCACAACTAGTGATAGTGAGCACCCTTGTCTTGTTCCAGTTCTTAGGGGAAATGCTTTCAACCATAGATTTTGATAGCTTGTGTCCCCCTTGCCATTCAGTTCGAGGAATATTTTGATTCCATCTTAATTTCATTTTTGACCCAATAATCGTTCAACAGCAGGTTGTTTAATTTCCATGACTTTGTGTGGAATTGTTTCTCTTGGAGTTGATTTCTAGTTTTATTGCACTGTGATCTGAGAAGATACATGGTGTGATTCCTATTTTTGTGAATTTTTTGAGAGACGTTTTGTGGCCTAAAATATGGTCAATGTTGGAGAATGTTCTATGTGCTGATAAGAATGCATTTTCAGTAGTTTTTGGGTGAAATGTTCTGTAAATGTCTGTTAGGCCCATTGGTTCCAGACTTCCATTTAAGTCCAGTGTTTCTTTATTTATTTTCTGCTTGGATAATTTGTCCAGTTCTGCCAGTGGGGTGTTGAAGTCCACAGCAATTATGATGCTACTGTTTATCTCTTTACTTAGATCTAATAGAATTTACGTTAAGAATTTCGGCACTCCTATGTTAGGTGCATAAATATTTAGGATTTTTATGTCTTCTTGTTGAATTGCTCCATTTACCATTATGTAATGACCATCTTTGTCTTTGTTTACCTTTGTTGCTTCAAAGCTCATTTTATCTGATATGAGAATGGGTACAGCTGCTCTCTTTTGGCTTTCATTTGCACGGAATTTTTCCAAAATTTCACATTGAGCCTGTGTGCATCCTTGTGGTTTAGATGTGTCTCCTAGAGACAGCAGATAGTTGGGTTATGTTTTTTCATCATTTCAGCCAGCCTATGTCTTTTGAGTGGTCCATTCAAACCATTAACGTTAAGAGATAGAATTGATACGTGGAATGCTATTCTGTTTATCATGTTGGGTAGCATTTTATTGCTCTGTTTCCCTTCTTGTGTTATTGTTCTATAAGAGTTGTAAGCTTTAGCTTTTTTTGATTTTACACTGGTGGATATCTATTGTGCTAATTCATGTATAATGTAATTCTAAGTATTTCCTGCAGGGCAGGTCTAGTCATGACCTAGATTCCCTCAGTGTTTGCTAGTCCAGAAAAGACTTAATTTCTCCATCAATCGTGAAACTTAGTTTTGCAGGATACAAAATTCTAGGCTGGAAATTGTTCTGTTAAAGAAGATTAAAGGTGGGGCCCCACTCCCTTCTGGCTTGTAGGGCTTCCGTTGAGAATTCTGATAGTTAGTCTGATGGGTTTTCACTTGTAGGCCAGTTGATGCTTACATCTAGATGCTTGCAGAACTTTCTCCTTCATTTTGACCTTGGCCAGGTTGATCACCATGTGTCTTGGAGATGTCCTATTTGCTATGAATTTTCCCACATTTGCATGACTATCTTTTATCTGGATGTCTGTATCTCTGGTGATACTGGGAAGTTTTCCTTAATAATTGCCTCAAATAGATTTCTATGCTTTCAGTTCTTTCTTCTTCTCCCACAGGGATACCTGTAATTTGTATATTAGTTCACTTCATATAGCCCCATATCTCTCTCAGTGATTGTTGCAACTGTTTTGTTCTCTTCGCTGCCTCTTTAAATGACTGAGTTACCTCGAGAGCCTTGTCTTCAAGCTCTGAGATTCTTTCTTCTCCTTGGTTTAGTCTGTTGCTGATGTTTTCTGCTGTGTTTTGAAATTCCGTAAATGACTCTTTCACTTTTTTGAGTTCTATTATATCCTTCCTTATGTTGTCTAGCTCTTTTTCATTAATTGACTTTTTCATTAATTTCCAGAAATATTTTTTTGGCTTCTTTTTGCTGGTTTTCAACTTTCTCTTCAATCCCATTCATCTTATTTGCCATCCACATTCTGAGTCTCATTTCTGTCATTTTGACAATTTACAGGTAGTTTGAGTTTGCTACTATGGCTCCATTGTGATCCCTTGGGGGTGTCGATCTGTGTTGATTTTTCATATTGCCAGGGATCTTTCACTGATTTCTTCTCATCTGAAACCTCTTTTCTTGACAAACGGCTAACAGGTTTTATAGGGCATCTGTTCTTTGCTGAAAACTCTTCTGCTTAATTAGAAGAAGGGGAGGTCCCTCAATGGTGCCTTTTCCCCTACTCTGTAATGTTGGCACAGCAGGGGAGGGGCGTGTGCACTAGAAATCTATAATTGCGGTTGTTTTGTTTTGTCTTTTTCCCTTGGGTTTGCTTTTTTCCAGGCTTTTGTTGGTTGTTTTTTTTGTTGGTTTTTGGGTTTTTCCTTGGTTGTTTGGAGGTTGCTTGGTTTGGGGGTTGGTTAGGCCCTTTTTCCTTAGGCTGCTGTTGTGGGGATTGCTCTGCCTGGGTTCTCCCCATAGATGTGACAGTGGCAGCTGGGTGAGGCTGTCCAGGTGGTGTTGTGAGTTCCCAGGCAAAGAAAATGGGGATTTTGTCAAACCGGGTCCCAGTATACTGGCAGCTCTAGGATGTGGGGTCCCTGACAGGGTAGTGGACTTTGTAGCAGTTCCTGCGGCGGTGGTGGGGGTTCAGGGTTGAATCTTGGGGCCTTGGTGCTGCACTGGACTCTCAGGGTGGTGTCCCGGGCCTGGCAGAAGCTCTGAGGACATAGAGGTGGAGCCTTGGGCTCTGGCGTGTCAGCCTCACAACCAAGACGGAGAAGGATCCAGAAGCGGAGCTCCTGAGCAGGGCCTCAGAGCCAGGAGTAGGGCCATGGGGGTGGCAGGGCTGATAAGACCTGGAGGGCAGGGTTAGGGCTGAGCAGGTAGCAGGCAGTTAGGACCTAGGGGGCAGAGTCAGGACCAACCGGGTAGCATGGGCTGCTCTGCAGGCTCGGGGACCACATGCCAAGTCACATGGGTGGAGGTCGGTTCCAGTGGCCCAGGGACCATGGAGCTCTCCCTGCACTCCCGAGGACCCACCACAGCAGTTGCCCAAAGCCTCCTAGGTTGGAGCCCGAGTCCTCAGATACCATTGTGCTGGTGGGGAGGGGCATTAGTCTTCCCGTCACAGGGTGCAGCTTAGCAGGGCCTCCCGGTGGTCTGCTCCCTCCCCGGCCCAGTGGGAGCAACGTGAAGAGTCCCTGCCTACCTGGCACCACGCGCGCCAGAGCTCGGGATGGCTTTACCTGCCGCCCCCTCCCCACCGCACCTGTTGTCTGAGACGATGGCTCTGCACAGACTCCAGGCAGGGCCGGTCCGGGGCGGCGGAGCGAGTCCTCCTCTCGCAGCTCGGCCTCAGGGCCTGCAGGGCGAGCAGGAGCCCAGCGCTCATCCTGCCATTCTTCCCCGCGGCTGCTTTGCCATCATCAAGTGTATCGCCCTCGCCTGTTCTTCCCCCACGCTGGGCGTCCGGTGCTGCTTCTCCGTGGTTTCACAAGGATCCTTCAGAGAATAGCTGTCCTGCTTCCTATTTACCTCTTCTTTCCTTGAGAGCTGCGGGTTCCAGGGCTGACTTTTTCTCCCTCCTGAAGTTCCCTTCTGAGGGTGGCTTCAGGATTCACTTCGGGATTCGCAGCCGCAGCGCCGACCCCGTGCCTACGCCCACTGGAGGCCGGCGGGGGAACTCTCCTCGGGCGGCGAGGGCGTTTGCAGCTGGCCGCCTTCCCTGGCGCGGCGCTGCGTCTGGGGACCGGCGCGCGACCCGGCCACGGCAGCGTTGGCTCGGGCTGGGGCTCGGGCTCGGGCTCGGGCTGGGGCTGGGCGGCCTCGCCCGCTCCGCCGGGGGCTGCTGGGCGCCGCCTCCGTCCCCGAGACGCCGGCAGCAGTCTCTCCGCCATGCTCCAAGCCTCCGCCGAGTTGCCGATTTCTAGCGAGATCTTGCTCCTTCTCCTTCTGCTCCACAACGTCTTCCGTGGAATCTCTGGTAGCTTCTGGCACTTTTCTCTCAGTTACACCTCAGCTATTTGTTTTTTTCAACTAAAACTTTTTCTTCTTTCCGAGAGGATATGGCGACCGATGTCTCTCGTCAGCCATCTTGTCTCCAGCAAAAATTAACTTGTTTTGATATAAAATGCAAATTAAAATAACAATAAAATAGCATTTTTTTTTTAAACAAGGCCTCGCTCTGTCACCCAGGCTGGAGGGCAGTGGCGTCACCATAGCTCGCGGCAGCCTCAAACTCCTGAGCTGAAGCGATCCTCATGCCTCAGCCTCCCGAGTAGCTGGGACTATCGGTGCGCGCCACCACACTCAGCTAATTTTTCTATTTTTAGCAGAGACGGGGTCTCACTCTTGCTGAGGCTGGTCTCAAACTCCTGACCTCAAGCGACCCTCCCGCCTCGGCCTCCCGGAATGATAGGATTACGGGCGTGAGCGGCTGCACCCAGCCTAAAGTAGGATGATTTGTTTTTTAATTCGGGCTTATCCTCACCCCTCAAATCATAATAGTCTGCTGAAGAAGTGCTGGAAATGCACTGTTATATTCTGTCATTGGTGGAAATACATATCACTGCAGTGTTTCCTAAGCACAGTCTGGAAAAGTGTTTCGAAAACCTTAAGAATGTTTAAGCTCTTGGAGTTAACAATTCAAATTTCAGAAATTAAACTTAAGAAAACAATCATAAGGTGAGTAACAGAGAAAATTCTAAATATGCACCAGTTTATTATCAGTCAAATAAACTTGAGTGTATTCACACCATAGAATAGTAACATCATGATATGTTTGGAATAGAGAGCACCATAGGGATATCGTCATGATATAGTGTTAAAGTGGAATAAGTTGACTACAGTACTCTAGTATATCCTTTATGATCCCATTTTATTTAAAAATTTTAAAATG